TCCGGGAAAAGTCCAGCCATTGGTAATAGAACAAGAATGGTTTGCATACCATCGATGTAACCCGGCAGCCAAGGAGAGTGGACTGGAATGCACACGTGTAAATAATGACAACTTCACTGTACTACTCAGTAGGGGCTGTAGATGCCACTAAATGAGCAGGTATATCACGTGGCTGTCAAATTCAAAATGACTGAGCGAGGAGAACAACGAATCTGCATCCCATTTTGCGTTAGGCTTAAACATTCCTGTACAGAACTGTTTCGATGATTCAGGACAACTGGTGATTGGCAGCTTCATCACGACAGTGCACCCACTCATGCGTCATGTCTCATGCAAAGTTTTTGGTGAAACATCAGATCACCCAGGTGACTCAGCCCCTCTACTGATTTGGTGCCCTGTGACTTGTGGCTTTTCCCAAAATTAAAATCACCTTTCAAAGGGGAGAGATATCAAACCATTGATGAGATTCAGGAGAATACGATAGGGCAACTGATGGCAATTGAGAGACTGTGTGAGGTCCCAAGGTGCCTGCTTTGAAGAGGACAGAGGCATCATTGTCCTGTGTAGAATATTTCTTGTGTCTTATATTTTCTTTAGTAAATGTCTCTTTTTCATAGTACCTGGCTGGATACTTTCTGAACAGGCCTCGTGCACTGTATATAGACCTGCTCTATACTGTAAACTTCAGGTTGTATGTGAATAACATGAAAAAGAGCCAAAGAACAACGTATACACGATTAGAAACTGGTAATATCGTGGGAGGAGTGATTCTTTGCTTTTTCCCCCCCCCCATCATTTTCCAAGCATGCAAGGACTTGAGCTCTCTCGAAGTGAGTTAGTTGACAGTGACAGACAGGATAAGGACACAGAGCCCCTCGCAGAGGTGGCAGAGGGCCTTTCTAATGTGCTCTTGTCAACATAACTAAGCTGGGTCGCCTAGAAGACCCCATTATTGCCAAGGAGAGGGGCGCATGCACAGCATGCTCCATCTGTGTCCCAGGATTGGAAGCACGTTAAGTCAGCCATATTTAAAACAATATACAATGTGACAGTTTTTAAATATGCGATTGCAGAGTGTTGAAACCAGAAAAATAGGGAATAAAATAGGGACTGCCTTAAAGAGACTTGGCCTGGAGGAACAAGGAACTTAGAGCAGAAACCACAAGGAAGTTAAGAAAGAACATAGGGAGTGGAGAAGGCGAACTACAAAACCAATGGGGCTGAACAAGTAGAGAACCACCTGTTCGTTCAAGTGTCTAGGTTAAAATTTTTCCATTACTGAAAACCCAGAAAGCTTAGGGCATGCTCGCGCCACCCGAGTAGCCAGTAGCTAACAGCCACATTTGCTTCTATACAATGCTTGCTCGCTCTCGTCTATAAAAAGACTTAGCTGTAAGCGCTTAGCGTGGCTCTCGTTTGCAGCTCTTATGAGCACCGTGTCTCCGGACACTCTGAGGGTCCGCCCCTGCACAGGTTAAAACTTTGGCCAATAAAATAACATTTCTGAATCCTGAAAGTTTCTGACAATTTGTCTCTCGAGTTGGTGGATGCAACACAGAGGTAGATACCAAGCTCTCCATAACTACAAAGGGCATTTTCATAACACTCTAATCCAAAGAGAGTGTTTGAAATCTGCTGTGTCAATTGCTTCTTTATGACACTGGAAAAGTGGCAGAAACCTTAAATTTGGCATGCACAGTAGTTTCTATTTGCATTACACACATATCTGATAATGCATATTATATAAGCATGCAGTGAATATGGAAATAAGATTCTTAATTTTTCCACTAGAATACTAGAAAAGAAAAACCTACACAACATAACCACCTTCTTTCTTCTAGATGTTGGATACTTGCAAAACTGTTAACATCCATTTGTAACCTAAGGTTTAATGGCTCCAAAGGAATCATTTCAGTGTGTAATATGCAGGCATTAAAAAATAATTTGCAAGATGCATCAGTAGTCATTGTTTTATGCCATCAATTAGAGTTTACGTGTGACTTTTGATAATGCCCTGACACACGCGAAAAATGTTTTCAATGTTTGTGAAGATATGTGTGTAGTTTTCCAAACACTTCCAATGTCGAATTTTATTTGTGCAAAGCACAGTGTGACAGATAAGAAGCTAGAGCTCCAAACCTCCCAGCCAATAGCTGCCCACGTTACTTGAGGTTGCCGCCCACCCACCCTCATTGCATCCCCCACCTCAGTACCTGCCACCTTTTCTTCCTCACTCCCTGCGCCTCCTCCAGTGTCTGAGTGATCCCAGGAATGTTCCAGAATTAGAACACTCGCCTGTGCATTCCCTCTGGCTGGAATCCTTCTCCCCAGTCACATGGCTTGCTGGATAATGACCTTTTTATTTAAATTCGACATTTCTTCTGGGTTTAGAAATGCAATCCACACACACACAGTCTTTTCTTCCTTTTCCTGACTCCATTTTTCTCCTCGCCATGATCACTTGCTAAATCTCTATATTTATGTACATATATATGTACACACACATATAGAACTTCCGTTTTTTGCTTATTATGGTTTGTCCCCCTAGAATGGAAGAATGGAAGCTGCAAAATTGATGAATCTTTTTCTCTCTGGTTTCCCTAGTGCCGAGGTCCCCGTCTGTCATGGCGCAGGGACTCAGTAGGGACTGAGCGAGGAGCCGTGAGACAAACACAGTAGTCCTCGAACAACAAGGGTTTGAACTGCGTGGGTTCGTTTTTCCCTGGAGTTTTTTCAGCAAATACCAGAACTGCGTTTTCTCTTATGTATGATCTGTCATAACACTTGCTTTTCTCTAGCTTACTTTCTTGTTAAGAATCCTGGATAGAATGCATACAACGTATACAATATGTGCTCGTCAAATGTATTGTGTTACCAGTGAGACTTCTGGTCCACAGGAGGCCCACTAGTAGTTAAGTTTGGGGGGGACACAGATTTGTGACTGTGCAGGGGCCGACCCCCGTGCTGTCCACAGGCCACCTCTGTCAGGGGGTGGGCGCTGAAGTGTATGTGGTGAGGGGATGGAAGCAGAGTTGGGGGCCCACAAGTCACTAAGGCCAAAATATTAGAAACTCCTCAATGTTAAGAAATCAGTTCATGTCTTTCCAGTTATTGACAGAGAACATAAACGGATGGCCATTTTGTTTTATTTGCTCAATTACTGTTTCCCTTTATTAACATTATTTTGTATATATTTTTAAAAATTGTATATATTTATTATCCTTTAAAGAAGGGTCAGGTTCGAATGCTATTCCAAGGTGAGGTAAAGAAAGAGAGTTTTGAAATAGTGCTCCAGAGCAAGGCTCCTGGTAAGGATTAAAAAAAAAAAAAAGGAAGTAGCATTTGAGACCTGGAGGATTCTATGCCAAAGGCTGATTGTAACAGAAAAGAGATACAATTAACCTAATTTGAAGAGTGACTCTTTAATTAGGTGGTGGTAAATCTGCAGGCCTGAATGCAAATGACTGTCGGTTTGTTTTCCAAATCGTGTTAGAAAGTAGCAGGATCACGACATCACAGCTTCTCAGCTGTAGCAGAGGAACCAGAGGGAGGCAGTTCTGATCATGCCAGACGTGAAACTGGAAAAGCAACTATCCTGTAGAAAATACGTTAGCACAGGGGGCACCGTGACAGAATTGCTTGTAACTGGTTGTAACTGGAAAGGGTTATAGAGGCAGGTAGGTGGTCACAGATAAAGGGAAAGTGTTGCTCAGAGGAATCTCAGAGGAGGCTTGTCCTGGCAGAGCCAGACTTGAACCAAAGTGATTTTAAGAAGTTTCTATATCAGGTATTTGTATTATGTTTATTTTTTGTTCATTCTATTCAACTAACATTTTTTGAAGGTCTCGTACATGCTAATCACTATACATTCTAATCTAAACACTGTACATACAGCATTGAAATCAGTCCCTGCCTTCTTTCCTTCTAATGTGGGGAGACAGACAGAAAACATGAACTAAACTATGCACTAAGTCAGAGGTCAGTGCTAGGGAGAGAAACAGCGGGACAAGGAGATGGAGAACGGCTGGTGTGTGGGCGGAGCTGGGAGCGAAGGGAAGGTTGATTGGAGCAAAGATGACCAGAAGGAAGGTCTTGAGGATGTCAAGGAAGGACCAAGTATTAAGTCTCCAGGAGGGGCCTGCTTGATGCGTTGGAGGAAGGAGTGCACCAAGGTCAGTGTGGCCGCAAGCGAAGAAGGTAGAAGGAGTTTAGCAGGGAGAGAGGGAGGCGCAACAGGGAGGGGGTCAGAGCTTGGACGGCCTTCATCTACTGTAACCCCCTAGACTTTTACTCTGAGCAAAACCAGGTGCCCCGAGAGGGCTTCAAGCAGAGTATCAGAATCGTGGCCACAGAGCGATGCTTCCAATTCAGACGCGTACAAGACCTCACTTTAGCCACATCAATCTTATACCTGCCTCCCCTTTTCACCCACTGACATTTCCAGGGCCCAGAACGCCGAGATAATTACTCACGGGCCTTATCTCACCTGTGCGGAGCGTTTCCAGGCCCGAGGGCTCAGTGTCTCTTTTCACCGGAAAGGTCAGGTGGAAATGAACGCTGGTGGACGGGATAGGAACACATATCCCGATCAGGGCAAACAGCACACTGAGAGAGCAGCGTTAGCTCCGGAAGGAGCAAAATGCCGGTCTACCCGAGGAGTGATGGGTCCCAGGGTCCGTGGGAACAGGAGCACAGTGGGCTCCCTTCCCACGCCAGGGACGTAGCAAACACTCAGGCCGTGCGTTTACATTTCCAGGGCGTAGCCTGTGTTTGTTTTCCATAAAATAAGATTCCTTTTCTCTCTGTCTCTGTAAGCAGCACTTAGGTGTGAGCCAAGCCTGGCGGTCACTTTAAGAATCACTACCCTTAACTCTCTCCTACAGCAGTGCAGGGAAAAAACACCAGTGGGCGAGTGTTTTAAAAACACCAATTACCTTCTGGCATTGGTGGAAGCATGGGCATGCTAACGGCCCGTTGTGGTGGCTTTTCTCTCCCCACAGAGGACAAAGTGTGGACCATCGTCTCTCACGACCTGCAGATGCAGACCACGGTGCCGGGCCACGGCCCAGAAAGGTACTCGGTGACGCAGCTGGCGTACAGCGCCTCCATGGACCAGATCAGCGCCATCACCAGCAGCGCTGAGTACTGCGAGCAGTACGTCTCCTACTTCTGCAAGATGTCCAGGTTGTTGAACACCCCAGGTAGGCGAGACCGCCGCCGCATGTCTTTTAATTACCATCTCAGCTGGTGCTTGGAAGGGCCCGAGCCGGCCAACAGGAGTGGCTCGTTAGCACAGAGTCCGGTCTGGAGAGCGCGGGCAGCTGTGGAAAAGTGAAATAGGAGTATTGGCTTATTTTCTGGGGAAGGCAGCTAAGGAAGTGTGATTTTTAAAAAATTTTCTGTTGTTTTAAACTTACAGATTTTATACACAGATATGTGTATGTGTGTGAGTGGAGTTGCTTGGGGAAAAGTTTATGAGACTTCTTGGGGACTTTCGAGCCACTGCGTCTGGAATTTCAGACTCTTTGGTTGTACACGTGAAAACACATGCTACAGGCTTACTGCAGGTCAGCACCATGCGGGGCAGCGCTGGCACCGGGAGCCCTCCGTTGGCCGTGGTCATTGGACAGTACCGTGCATCCCACAAACACCCACTTTTAGCCTTGTTTCAGGGTGTGTGTGTGTGTGTGTGTGTGTGTGAATGGTACAGCAAAGAGATATTCTGGAAACATCTCTACCACAAGAGCCGTCTGCTCTGGGCTGCGTGGCAGTGAATTCTCCACGTTGAGAGGAAACTCCGTGGCCCAGTCCGTGGTGCAGTGGGGAAGACAGAACACGCTTGGAGTCAGAGAAAAAGCCAATCGGCCTCCCCCCCCAGTGGTGGGACTTCAGGGGGGTTCACTGAACTCACGCCTCACTGTTCAGCATCTTCTCAGTCACCTAGGAATCAGAATGCCTCTTTCAGGGTGATTATGAGAATTCAAACAGGTGATATACCAAGCGCTTACTGCAGGGCTCGGTGCACAAAAGAACTTAATAAATAGCACATAGTATATTGATTATTCTTTTCTCATATTAAGCGACTTTGGAAGTGGCATTATGTCAGAGACCAGTGGACTGTTTGATGGTCAAAATCACATTGTATGGGAGCTGGTGTTGTAGGTTACAGTGAAGAGTTATAAGCCACACAGTTCACAATATAATGAAGACTTGAGTGTTGTTTGTGCACAAAGCCTTGCGCTAACATTACAGACGCGTGTAACCTATGGGCTTCGAGAAAGGAGACTCTGTAAACTAAAAATGATCTGTTCAGGCAATTAGAGATGCTGCCGTTTGGAGAAAGAGGCAGTTGCGGCTGGGAGGCGGAAGTGATGCTTTGCTAAAGAGGCAGAAAGGCTCAAGGTGGGAGAAAGAGGGAAAGTCAAAGTCTAGAAGGCAGAACACATGGTCCCTTCAGGCCTCGGTGGGACGCCATTCAGCAAAAGCGGAGTTTGTGTCGAAGTGCAGTAGCAAAAGTGGGGGGGACAGAGCAACATTGGAGGACGGTGAATGCTCTGCTGCAGAGCTGGGGGCTTCCTCCTTTAACGGGCCTTAGAATAACCCGGGGAGATGAATAAAACAAACCACTGGATCTCACAACGCGAGTTTCTCCAATTCCATAGATTGGAGCGGTGACATGTGGATTTGCATTTGTCATGTGTGCTGGGGAATGAACTGTGTGCCCCCAAATTCATACACTGAGGCCCTAACTCTCAGTGTGCCTGTATTAGTGATGGGGCTTTTAGGAGATACGGAAGCATGAGGTCATGAGTCTGGGCTCCTAATTAGATTGGATCAGTGGTCTTATAGAAAGGGGACGAGCGAGTTTTCTCTCTGTCCACCATGTGCGGACACAATGAGAAGGCCAAGGAGAGAGCTCACATTAGAAACCAAACTGGCCAGCCCCTTGATCTTGGACTTGCAGCCCCCAGATCTGTTAGAAAATAAGTGACTGTTATTTAAGCCAGAGCCTGCAGTGTTTTGTCTCGGCAGCACGAGCTGACTGATACACTGAGTTCCCAAGTGATGCTGATGTTGCCACAGTAGCAACTGCGTTTGGAGAAGCACAGCTGTGGGCAATGGAGAACTTTTCGGGTCCCTACAGCCCGACTGTCTTTCCAGTCACCTTCACGTACCAAAGAAGCTTTGACTGGTTCCTGTTTCCAACACTCAGAAAAGTCAGCCAAGGGCTATAAAAATCCAGGGCACTTGGCAGAATGAATGAATCTCATCAGCCTGTCTGCACTCAGCTTCGTGAGTGAGGGCTCTTGATGGAGGTTCATTCGAAGATTTCTGTCAATTCGTCTCCACCTCTGGGGGTGGGGAGGAAGATAAGGGGAAATTGCTGACCAGAAAAATAGCTCGATACCATCTGCTTTATTTTCTCCCATTCTTCCGTTAAACTCCAAAGTCAGCCTCCACTTTTTTCGTTTTGGCCTGGAGGTTAAAAAGCACAATGCAACTTTCAAAGGGGTTTAACATGCAGTCAGGCACCTGGAGAGGGAGGTTAAGGCAAGAAAAGCAATTTGCTTTTAGCGCTTAAAGTTCATTCCTCTCTTCCCTCAGGGACCCTCCGTCACTGCCCCCAGCCACCAAGCCTCATACACTGTCACCTCCCTTTCAAAACCTTCAAAACCTGGGAGACCCACACCTCAGAAGAGCAGGGCAAATTTCTTTCTAAACAATGCTTCCCATACATTTCTAATAACAAGCTAAACACAACTTAAGCTTCAAGATAACTTTTCAGGGCAAGAACTACTGTATTGAAATTAAGAGTGAATTGTTCATCTGCGCCATAAACACTATCTGTAGGGGACCGGTTTGTCTTGGCCTGGCCAATGTGACTCAGCTCTGTACAGAAAACCTACAGATGTGAAGTGGTGGGCAGGAGCCAGACCTTCAAACCGAGTTTTCCCGTAGGAATCAGGCCTAGAAAATGCATACAGACTGTTATGGCTTGCTCTTGCTAACACTCCATCACCCTGGTCTAAAGCAACAAATGTGTATTGTCTATCTTCAAGGTAACTTCCAAAGCCTGTATGAGTTCTCCCAAGGACAGAGCTAATGAGCTCATCATCATTCCCCTTTGCATGTTATTTTTATTTCCTTGATTGTACCTAAAATGTAGACAATAATATTCTGTGTGATAGATAATAAATCCTTCTCTGATGTAAGACCCCAGGAAAACAATAAAAGTCTGTCTAGGCAAGGGTCGGGGCACTCCCCTCTTGAGGGAGTGGCCGAGGCACCATAGGCACTCTCCCCTTGAGACAGTAGTCGTGCCTGTTCCCTTTTTCCACACAGGGGTGTTGTCGCCTCTGCATTGATTCTTGTCGTAAACCACAACAGGTGGACTTTGCTGGACAGAGTCTGCGACAGCTATTTGCTCCGTGTTCCCAGACATTCAGATACATGTCTCTAAATAGTTGTAGATTACTGTTATCCTTAATAAATTTACCTCGACAATCAGTTTATCATATGCTTCTTGCCTTTTTTGGACATGTGCTATGTATCAAATTTTCACTCACATGGCATCAGTACTTAATAAATATTGAGTGATTGGAATGAAGTGACAAATATATAGTTTTAGTAGGACCTCAGCAAACCTTCTTCAGGTGGTGGCTTTTACACAAGCGTGGGCACGACGTGAGTGTTCTTTGGGTGGCTCGTCAAATGCTTCTTGCCAGAACTCTGATTGGAGAGAACTTAGTTGGGGCCCCGGAAAGTCTGCTTTCGACGACCATCCCTGGGTAATTCCCCGAGCACATTGACAAACATTGTCTCCCATTCTGGCCTCGAAGGTTTCTCTCCCTTAGATTATCAGGAGTCAGTCCTCCATGCAGGGGAAGATTAAAGGGAATGTTAGGACTTATCTAACCAATTGAAATGAAATGGCTTATGTAATTATCTGTTCCTTCAGCTAGCATAAATTGGCATAGTAGTATTTTTTAAATCTTTTGACATTGACCAATCTCTAAATAATGTCATGAGAATTTCAGCCTGTCATTCTGGGTCATTTTTCACACTCCAGATTTTTCTGTCCCGGGCTAACTGATCTGAAGAACAACTGAGGTGAGGAAAAGTGCTGATTGGTATAACGGGTTTTCCTGTGTTACTGTATTCTGTCTATGTCCAAATAAGAAAGAACACAATTTAATTTAAAAAAATCTATTTGCTGTTTTAGGAAGCTGATGTTGTAATTGGTTTTTTTCTCTTTCCCCTTCTTGGTAACGTTGAATTTTAAATATCCATTTACTCATTCTTAACTAAGACTGAATTATATTGGAACTTCTGTAGGAGTACTTGTGACATCTGTTTGAATACAAAGTATATTCATTATAGTCATGGCAATTAAAACAAATATCAAATGAGTTTGTAATAGCCGTGCACTTAAAATGTTATTCTTTTTTTTTTTAAGAGTCTTACCCAAAGATTTCATTTGGGACTCTGTAGCTTCTAATGATAATTATGATAAAGAGTTGATTCTATACACATATGGACCTCATTTTTATTTTGATAGATGTTTGGTTGTACCATATCATTAATAAATGTAGAATTACTCATTATTGGTTTCTAACAATTTTTACCAAGGGTAGTAACATATGACTTATAATGTTATCTCTTTTTTTTATTACTACAAAGTTTAAAACTGGAATCTATTTTTAAGGTAATGATTTTGCCATTCTTTATGGCCATCTCTATTCTTGCAATGTGGTTATTAATTCATTTTTCCTTAATCAACTTTATAAAATACATAGAAGCAATTCAAAGTTATTTTATTTCATAGAAGAACCTGTTTGGAATGAGGCATACCAATTTGGGCATGAAGAGATTATTTCTACCCAGAGAAAACCATTAATGGCTATCTAACCACCCCCCAAATGTAGCATGTTATATTTATATCCCCAGAACTGCAAATGTAATAATACCTGAACTGATGAATGGCAGGAATCCTTAAATGATAAAATCTGCTCCCGAAATAAATACCCAAGAATTTCAATTTGATAAATTAGACACCAAGAGAAAGTTTCATTAGATCCCACTTGGGCGGAGTCTCAGTCAGTAATCCTAATGCTTTTAGATGGCCAAAATATTTCTCTGTATCTCCGCAGGACCTACAGCCTGCTCTTAAAATGCTTCTGTGTATATCTTCAGAGTCAGT